ATTCCCTCCCCCATTGTATGTTTTGCACCTCTTGGCTTTACCTCACGCTTATTTTAATTTTCCCCAATCTGTTAAAAATTAGAATGGCGTGGACAAATGTAAATTTTTAAAATCAAACGTGGGAAAACGCAGATCTTTATTAACTTGCCCTGCTGTTTCAGGTTTATTGCCTGGTAAGTTTAAGGTAAATAAATCACAGTTAGCCATGCAAAATGGGGGTGCCGGCTGTATAATCTGTGCTGGGTGAAATTAAAATGGTACCTTCGACCTGTTACGAAACGCTGCCTCTTTTTCCCTCCTCCAGGGAACGGTCTTCCAAGGACTATCCCAAGAGGCGCTCTCGGCCTGCACACAGTCCTTGTTGGCGGCTGCAGAGTCTATTGCTAAAAGCAAGGTCAGAAGCAAGCGGGGAGGCATTGGCGGCTGGATTCAAGTGGGGGGAACGGGGGGGGGGTTGCCCTGATGAAACGGAGGCCGTCCAGTTTGCCTTCAGTCGGTCTGTGTGGCCTCAAAACTGCTTCTGGCTTATTTTGATCAGTTACAGGCCGGTGCTCTTGTGTCCACCCGCCGTGACCTATGTTGTTCTTGTATTTAGACCCAAATCGACGGGCAGCTTTTTCTAATAAAGCACCTTTTGATTCTTCGTGAGCAAATTGCTCCCTTCCACACTGAATTCACAATTAAGGAAATTTCGCTGGATCTGAAGAAAACCAGAGGTATTGACTTGCACGGAAGGGCTGTGATTTAAGGGGTCCCATGCGCAGCAGGGATGGGAAACCCTTCAGCCAAAGTTCCTCCCCCCCAACTGATTCCAGTCCTCCAGGCAGGAAACAGGGCTAGATCAGCTAAGTGCACTTGAGTGTCAGGCTGCATGAACGGAATCTTGCAAGCCTTCCGTTGTGCATAGAGGGCGTTTTTGGTCAGAAATTGGAATGGGGAGATAATGGGTTGTAGCCTGTATGGTTTGAGTACATCTCAATAAAAACTTCATCATAGGCTGAATGTCCTATGGAGATTCTCAGCCATCCAGCGCAGGGGGGTCCAAAAGATGCTTTTCTGCAGTTCCAAGAAGGCTCCACAAACCCCTGCAGAAAGCACAGCTCCACAACACACACTCCTTTCCGCAGTTCCAAGGAGGCCCCACACCCATCCACACCCCTCAGGTGACCTTGAGGATGCAGATAAACCTTCAGGTGGCCTCAACGACTCTCTAAAAGAAGGCAAAGGACCAGCGGTCTGTATAAATCCTGCCCTTCCCCACCCTCCAGTCACGGCTGAGGAAGCGTCTTGGGTGAGAAGTGAAACATCTTCAAAGAAAACACAAGAAAGTCCAGTTGCCTCCTGAAAAAGCACCTTTGGGACAACCCTGACCTGGAGGACGGAGAACCTCCATGGACTTTTAGCCATGCACTTTGGGATGAACCCCCTTCGAACGGTTTGGGAGTGTGAACGGATTTCCAGGAAAAAAATGCAGACTACTGGAACCATTTGCACTACTCAGGTGACCCTGAGGACACAGATAAACCTCCAGGTGGCCTCAATGACCTTCTAAAAGAAAGCAAAGGACCAACTGTCTGCAAGGAGTATAAATCCTTCCATTCTCCACCATCCAGTCAGAGCTGAGGAAGCTTCTGGGATGAGAAGTGAAACATCTTCAAAGAAAAACAAAAGAGCCCAGTTGCCTCCTGGAAAAAAAAAAAAACCTTTGGTTTTTCTTCCTACACAAAATTTAAGAAAACTCAATATTCTGTCTCTGGCTTTTCTTCCCTGTCAGAATTTTATCCAGTGTTATTCACTATAAAAGCAGAGTTACTGATAAAATTAAAGGGGTGGTAGGTGGGGTGGTGGATACGTGTACAAAAGAGAGAGGGAGGAACAGTACATCAATTTCAAAGGGAAAAAATGAACTTATTTCAAGGGGCTCTAGTACGTATTACTTAAGATACAAACGTCAAAGGAATTACAGGGAAACCCTCCTGAAAAAGCATCTTTGGGATTATCAGTAGGCTGGATATTACTAAGAAAACATCACAATTACATACTGCATACGTATGATTTCTATGTGATCCTCAAAATTTGCATGAGAATTCTTACAAGTTCCATTCGATTTGAATGCATAAGACAAATATTCATAAATATTCCTTAAAGCAGTTCTCTTTTCACAGATGCTGCCTTTAAAATTCTGAACCCCATGACTGTCCCACAGTTCTTCAGACTAAGTAGCCACAATGCAATTATACAGTTCTTACTGGAGGTAAAGAACACCTGTTGAAAGGTTGACGGGCGTGAGAAAATAATTTTGGGGGTGTGGCAATTTCTGAAGACCCCCCCCCGCCTTCCTCTCCTAGGGCACGCCAGAAATAAGGGAGCACTACATCGACTCCAAGAAGGACGTGGATCGGCACCTCAAGCTGGCCTGCGAGCAGTTCATCCAGCAGCAGACGAAGCAGCTGGTGGAGCCCCTGCAGGAATTCCTGTCCAAGGTATTAAAATACTAGAAATCCACTATTATCATCTTGATTCACCCTGTTTAGGCTTGAGATTTCGTTTTATATTTTGCTTTCTAAGAAAGAAAAAGACGACCTGTGAACGGGCAGATTTGCTGCTGGATGCCAATTAAAAGTGCTCTGGGACATAAGAAACCTTTTGAGCCCGCTGAAATGCTGTCTGTGAAGCATTATACACCTATTTAACACACACTGTGTATTTTCTCTCATTCCTTTAGGTTTCGGCCTTGACCGCGGTGGTCTCTGCCAGGGGCCCTAAATACAACCTTTCGCAGCAGCCTTGGGCGCAACCAGGTAGGTTTTTTCCAACAGTGAAAAACTCTTGTGATCTCTTTATGAGCCTTGCTTATTTTGAAGGCTTTTTAAGTACAATCACTGTTGCAAGTTTTATTCAGTAGCTACAACTCACAGGTTTTGATTGCTCTTCAATCAGCTGCAATCTGTTTTCGATTTAATTAGGCAAAATTTAACATTAATGGAAGAAATCAGTGTTGTATTTTAAAGTGGAAACCCTCTTAAGTCTGCTTGGTCCTTCTTAGCTGCCATCCCGCAGGAGGGATGGTGGCACATGACTTACAACCGATCGCTTAGTGACCTGCTGAAGTTACAACAGGTGGAAACTGTTACAAAGCAGTGGGTTTGTTTAACAACTGCCCTGTCCGCTTAACCCTACTAACCCTGCAGAAAACCTCCTAAAATCAGGTCCAGGCACAGGGTGACTTGCTTCAAAGCTATCACAACTTGTGACTGAAATTGTGGGGCTCAACTATAGCTATAAATCAAGGATTCCTAGTAATCACATTCTTAAATGTATTATTTGTTCCCATGCTTTGTTGTTGATTTTAGAGTGATTTACCTACGTATATAAAAATGTAGTCAGTGAAAAGAAAAGCATCCTAAAACACAAAGAGAGATATTGCCCAGAACTGTTTCGGAAGAAATTCTGTAGCATGAGAGTCTTTGTGTGTATTTTATTTACAGTGAAGATCAGTGACTTGGTGTCATCAACATACAGGAGGATAAAAACAAAACTGCCGCCAACCTTACAGAGTATGTCACTTTATTTGTCCAATAAGGACACCGAATTCATCTTGTTCAAGCCCGTGAGGGTAAGTCTTTGGTAGCATCCAACGTTATTTGTAAATATGTGCTTAACACCTTCTTCACTTTTAGAGTTAGCATACGTGAAATTCCTGTTTTGCATTATCATCATTATTGCAAGATTGAGTGGAAGCCCATCGCACCACCTTGGAGCCAGTGTCTGTACGCATGCTGTTTTTAGGATAATGAAGTCACAAGTATTTTTTTCTCTTTAAGAACAATATCCAGCAAGTGTTTCAAAAGCTGCATGCGGTCTTAAAAGAAGAATTTAGTAATGAAGATCTCCAGATCATAGCTTGTCCATCAATGGAACAGGTATCTCTAACAGCTTATTTTCTTGTCTTTTTTCTTTTAGTTTCTATTTTTAAAACTATTTGTCCTTTATTTTGGGAGTGAAATTTTAGGTATAAAGGTTTATGGGGAGAATGTAGAAAGGCTGGACAGAGGACATGGGTAGTTTTAATTCCGGAAGAAACTGCAAATGGACATCTGCTTTATAAATTTTCAAGGAAGTCATTTGTGCTTCTAAAAAAATAAATATGCTTTGTCTTTCAGGTAAATCTCCTTTTGTCAGTAACAAAATAATGATCTGGTAGCCCAACTGCACAGTGCTTCTTCAAACCATCCACGGTGGTTGGAGGCCACCAGCCTAGTTGTGCCTTTCAAAAGGCGTTGGCCTTTGTGCATCCAGCTTCTCTCATCGCTGGAAGGAGGGGAAGAGTTAATGTTGCTGTTCTGCAAATTCAGAATCATCCCTACAGATCCATAACAAGCCTCACCTACCAGGATGAAAATAGCCCTTGTCCTTGAGCTCCTCTGCTCTGTTTTAAATCCAGAGAAGGTCTGCTCTCCCAACTTCCTTGGCAGAATTTGGAACACTCCAATTTGGAGAATGGATGCCTTTTACTCAAAATCTGTACATCAGGACCACTTTGAAGGACACATCCAAGCTTTTCCACAAATCTCTTAGTAATATTGTCCAATAATTAGCACTATTACATTGCTTATACATGTCAACAAATCATCAGACTTTGTAGAGTGTAAGTGGTGATGGTGGATTTATGGAAGATGCCAAATAATCAGTTTATTGTATAGGTACAGCACTTAATGTAATCTACTTCAATACATCAGTGGTTTTTTCCCCCAAAACCTTTATACTGATGAATACTGACATTGTTCTGGTTTTATTCCTTGCAAATAGATTGCCTTGCCTTAAAATTATGTCTACATGTTATGCAGAAAATATGGTGTGGTGATAATAAATTTCCATTTAATAGGTTATGACTGAACTAAAGTATGTGGAAAACGTGATGTGGAAAGATTGGGAGAATGGAGTATGTAATTGAAGTGTAAAGCTGCAAGATCTGGTGCAAAAATAGAAACAAGTTCTTATTTTTTTTCATAATTACATTTTATTTGAATTAGAGCAGTGTGTTTGTTGCTGCGAAGTTACAAGACATGCCTTTTCTATAAATTGATTGTTGTGCATTTCTGCCGGGCATGGAGAGGTCTTGAAGTTTGCATCTTGCATCTAGTATATATTGTATTATAAAAAAGATAAAAATTTTATATTGTTCAGGGAACACAGGTAATTTTTAAATGATGTGTGTATAATCTTTCTGTTTAAAATATTGGTTTTTAGAAAACAGCTTAAATACTAAAAGTTTTGCAGAATCCAGACTGTTCTGTATTGCTCTGTTTAATATTAGCACTCTTACTGTTTTAAAAATTTTATGTTTCAATTCTGTAGGGAGATAAATTAATTTTAAAGAATTTTAAAATAACTGAAATTAATGTTTGTAAGCATTAGAATATCAATGACATCAGATTTCATTATAATCCAGTTATTGGTACCCTATAACACATATTTAAAATAATCTGCTGTGAATTTTGAGTAGAGAGGTTTTCAATCAAATAGAATGTGAATATTGTATCTTAAAAAAGTTGGAACTAGGTAATTTAAATGCTTTACTTTCTAAAACAGAGTATCTTCTATTACGAACATAGATATTATTTTATTACTCAGTGACCTTCCAAATCACAGAATAAATATAACCTGTACAGGTAATTAGGTAAATAAACTGTGTATATAATGTTCCTAATTTTTCCATGTGATCTTGTTCTCATTAAAATAGAAAGCTTTGCTTTCTTGGAGGGTTTCGTTTTTTTCAATATTCCTTAGGAAACCTACCTTGTTAAAGCCTTTTAGATCTTAATTGCTGATGCAGAAATATTCTTCACGGCATAGCTGCCCCAGTTAAAACTTCTCTTTAGGTCCTTTTGAGAAGCATGTGCTATAGGCTTAACTGTTGTAAAGAAAAAAAAAACCTTCAAATTCTACATTGAAAACAAATGACATGGTTATTTTATGTGCATGTAGCTAAAGTGATTAAAAAGACCCAGAAGAGATACAAAAGGAAGGCTGGCAGAACCTCTCAGAAGTTCTGTCTTTTAAAGAGATTTAGATGGTAAATGCAACTGGGCCCGTCAAGAAGAGGATAAATTCAAATAAATCTCTAGCCAGGATCTGGTTTTTTTGTTATTTATGTTTTCTTTATTTAATTTTTTATATTTATGTTTTATTTATTTATGTATGTTTGAGGCCTTGTTGACTCCTGGCAACTACCTGGACTCATCTTCACCTAACTGCAGTTTTCTTGGCAAGATTTTGGGAGCGGGTTGCCATTGCCTGCTTCCTAGGGCTGAGAGAAAGTGACTGGCTTAGAATCTCCCAGCTGGCTTTGCCATACCAGATGTTTTCCTGAGCCTTCCCTCAAAATGTCACCGATACCAGCCCTGGAGTCTGAGATGACGAGAAAAAACTATGGCTGCCAGAATCAATTCTTGAACTAACTAATACAGGTAATACTCATATACATCTACCCATACCCTCCCCCCAAGGAAGACAGGGCGTGAAGAGGGTGTGTAGCGTCACAGACAATCCTGCAGGCCTTGCTCGAGCAGCGCTTCTGTGCCACGTCCTGGACGGGAGGGAGGGAACGGCCAATGATCTTTTCTGCCGTCCTCACCACTCTCTGCACCGCCTTCCTGTCTGAAGCAGGGATGCTTCCAAACCAGACAGCAATGCCGTATGACGGGATGCTCTCCATCGTCCCTCTGTAGAAATTGGTCAGGACAGGGGAAGGAAGATCCGCTTTTTCCCATGCAACGCAGAACATGCAGGCGCTGCTGTGCCTGCTTCACCAGTGTCTCCCTATTGAGTAACCAAACTTGCTCAACTACAAAGCCAGAAACTTGATGCTCCTAACCACCTCCACAGCTGAATTAAAATTCAACTCGCATCGTAAATAAGTTTGAATAACACCCTGATCTAATAGGAGGCAGTTTGTTTACTTTTAATAAAGTTTACAATACTTCCTAAGCAAAATAAAGGTAAAATCAGATAGCAAGGGGAACAGACCAAGATGTTTTCCCCAAGTCTTGAGAATATTTGGGGTAGCAACGAAGCAGAAAGTTTGCATCTTCAAGCTTCCTTCTTGGGGAGGAAAAACTCCTCCCTAAAACCAGTTTGCAAACCATGTTGGGGCACCGCTTGGAATGGCTGGGATTAGAGGGCAGTTCATAAACCACCGGAAAGGAACCGTCAAAAGGTCAGTCTGGGAAAAGACGCAGTCCGGCCATTGTGTCTGGCCCTCTGAGTGGAATGTGTGTGGTTCAAAGCTCACCCTCTGCCAACAGCAGCCAATTGACTTAGCATTAAGGCTCTCGATTGCTGTGGAAACCCTCTGAAGAGCTCCTGAAACTGACCTGGAAACGCAAGGAGGAAGGCAAAGGAAAGCTGCAGAGCTCAGTCTAAAAAAAAATAAGGGGGGGGGAGTCTCTAGAGAGGAGGAAACTCACCTGGCCTTGCAAGGTAAACAATTAAGGAGCCCTCCGAACTGACCCGACTCTCGGAAAGCCACCTAGAGCTGCAGAAATATTTTAGCCCAAACCAGAGGCAGCAACTTTTCTTAAAACTGGTGTAGAAACTCAAAAGTAATTATACACGTGAAGGTTTCAGAAACCTCAGCAACTACCAAATGTGAGATACAGGCAGTCCTCGTTTAGCAAACCCAATTGGGACTGGCAACACAGTTGTTAAGTGAAGCAGTCACAAAGGCTCGGGTCTTTTAAGTCAAGTGAAACTGGATCCAACCAGAGGCAGATGAAATAACACCTTTATGAAGCTGGCGACACGAGTGCACAGTGAGGCCAGGTCTCTGGGACAGATCCGGCCCCTACATAGGAAGGAGGCTGGTTTGCAAGTCCACCCCGGGCCAGTGGGCCCTTTCAGAGTCGGTCCCCCAAGTTCTGCATCTTCACATAGAGCCAGAGAACGAGAATGCCTGGATTAGGCCATTCCGAGCCATTCCTGAGGAAACCCTCTCACCCTAGAGCTGAAATCTCCCAACACGATGAGTTTCGGACAACGCAACAGCCCCACTGAGACCTTAAGGACAGAAGGGCAACTGGGATTTCATATTTGTCATGGCGACCCAGTAGGGGGACTGAAATATAGTAAAGGAAGGACGCTGAAGGATACCGTTAGTCCCAAAGTCACAGAAGGAATAAAAGAGGAGGAGGAAGACAATAGGAAAAAGCTACAGGCAGTACTCTTGATGAAAAGCACCCGTTCATGTTCAGAAATCTAAATTGAATGACCTTGGGAAGTTTGCAAGCTGGGTCTTTCCGGGAAATTCCCAGTGGTCTTGGGGGTAAATACTGTCAGAGGATACAGGCAGACAACAGGAGGATCCATTGTCCTTGACTGGGTGCTTCTTGCTTAGCCCAGGCGTCTCCAAACAATCAAAAACAAAGCAGAAGAAGTTACATTTGGTGGCCGGGACAAGGGCCAGGTCACCAAAGATGCCTGCAGACAGCCAAGAACTGTAGATCTGGTGACAGGAAACGAAAACTCAGAACGAACGAGGGTAGGAAGCAAAGGATGCCAAGAACAACGCAGAGAGCCTTGACGCATTCAGAGTGAAGAGAGGAAGCATACCAACCGCTCAATAAAGAAGGCAAAATGCTAAGCGCTATCAAACCAGAGGCAGTGCTTCTGAATTCTTGTTTTGATTCCATCTTCCCCAACAAGATGCCATGCAAAAAGCAGGACGAAGGAGCCAGGATGAAGAATGAGGCCGACCGAAAGATGCTTGGGGAAGAGCTCTCCGAATTAAATGAACCGCCTGCTAGGATACCGAAGGATCCTGTGGCTGGTTTGGCTGACCTCATGCTTAGTCACTGAGAATCCTGCAGAACTGGCAAGTGCCAGATGACAGAAGGGTGTGTGTGTGGGGGGTGGAGAATCTGCAAAAAAAGAGAAAAAGGAAGATCCCTTAAACTACATACAAATCAGTATTAAAACCTATAATTTGGAAGATTCTGGAGCAGATCATGAAGAGGTCAATCTGGAGCAATACAGCTCCTGCCTGATGTTAGTCTGGATTTGTCAAGGACAAATCTTGCCACATCAACCTTTCATCATGTGGAGCGATCTCCTTAGTCGATCATGTAAATGCTGTTGACACCAGATACCTTAATATCAGCAAAGGATTTGGAAAAATGATCCTGTGTCATGCTCATGAAAGGGTGGACTGCTAGAGGGCAGAAAAATCCAACAGATGCAGCGCTCTCTTAGGTATTTATCCTGGTTTCTGGCTTTAAAAAAGGCAGGTCCCAGGTGCCACAAGGACCAACCCTGGGTGGTTGAAGGAGGCAGGAATGTGAGGGAGGGAAGGGGGCCCTTTCATAAGGGACCCTAAGGCCCAGGAGGAGGAGGAGGAGGCGGGAGAAAGAGACTCAGAATAACTCCACCTTAATTGCACCAGGTATAAGTTGGTCTGGCACAAGAAAAGCGAGCACTCCGCAAAGCCAGAGCTGCAAATGCTGAATTAACAGTGTCTACACTTCTTTGTTCAGTATGTGGCAGAACATTCCGTGCTAACATCGGTCTTATAAGCCACCTACGGACACATCGTTGACGGCCCACGACCCACAAGATGTCAAGGTCTTCATCGAAATCGATGGACGAACAACATAAGTTGGTCTGGAGACTGTTTTGGTAGACTTCCATAATTCTATCACATCACCCTCCTAGCCATCCAGATTCTTCCAGAAAACAAAGTGCTTCTGGTTTTCTGAATTTGCCAGCCTAGCTGGGCACCGAAATATCTGCAAGAAAAGAACCAAGCCCAGCCGGCAGCGAGGACGCCACTGGTTTTTTCTCCCGTTCAATTGTAAGTCCAATTCTCAAAGACCGGGGCAATATTTCCACTCCATTCCAGGCATCAACTAACCCGCATAAGCCTATATAACAGTGGTTCTCCACCTGTGGGTCGCGACCCCATTTGGGGTAGAACGACCATTTCACGGGGGTCGCCAAACAACGCAGTCCGCCATTTTTTCCCCCCTTTTCCTTAGCTGTGCTACTCCCTTTTATTCAATTGGCTTTTGAAAGCCAATAGAAGAGACTCTCTTGAATAGAGTCTAATTCTTTTGGCTTTCCAAAGCCAATAGGAATTGTCCAGGCTGTCTCTGCCCTGCTGAGCCCGCCAAAAGTCCCATTCTGCAAACGGTGCTGCACCAGCTGAGTAGTCCTCGACTTACAACCGGTTGTCCTCAACTTACGACCGGTTGGGGGTCGCAGCATTAAAAAGGTTGAGAACCACTGCTATATAACTTTCACCTTCAAGGCCATCTTACAGGGACTCCAGTCCTCGGCTTCGAACGCCATCAGTTGCAAACTCATCCTTCAGGCTGGCTCGTGTCGCTTCCTGCTAATTGCCTTTGCAGGGGGGAAAAGTGGGAATATGGGCAAACCCCCAGGGCGGCTTATTTAGGAATTCAACGCACACGGCAGCTGCAAGCAGCGGAGGTGCCAGGGGCTCTTCCCAGGAAGGGGACCAACTCCCAAGCGGAGCCAGGGCACGAGGAGCCGCCCGGCCTTTCCAGGACTCCGAGCCTCATAAATAATAACGCGCCTCCTTTGGCAGAGAGCAGCTGGGGATAACGTCCGGGGGGAAAGGGGGAGGGGGGGGTGGCAGAGATCCGAATCAAGGCGGAATCGCTGCACCCGGAGAGGCCGCGCGGATCACGGTTCGGGGCGCCGGTCTCGGTTTCGGAGGCGCAGCTGCCGGTTCGGGGGAAAGCGAACCCCTCCCGCTCCCCGGAGAGAAGAGCCCCCCCCCGCTGCCCGTTTCCCCCAGGCTTCGTGACGTCGGCGTCCCCGGCCTCATTTGCATAGACCCCCTGGCGCCCAATCCCGCGGCGCGCCCCGCTTTGCATACGCGAGCCCAGCCAGTCAGCGAGCGCGGGGCCGGGCCACCACGTGCTGTTGCTAAGCTTCGGCTTCGGAGTTGTTGCTATAGCGGCCGGCCTATGAGCGCCCGCGACGGCCGGGGCCGTCCACGCCGTCCGCCTCCGAAGGCGGGCTGAGCGTCCCCGTCCGGGCCGCGATTGGCGGCGCGGCGGCTCCGCCTCCGGCGACTGGCGGGCGCGGCTGCCCGTCGAGCGAGCGACCTGCCAACCGGGGCGGGAGGCGGCGCGCCCGAGGGGAGCCCGAGCAGGCGGCGGCCGAGGCGGCGATGGAGTGGAACTCGCTGCTGATGCTGCTGGAGGCCGCCGAGTACCTGGAGCGGCGCGAGCGGGGTGCGCGGGGGGCTCCGGGGCGGGCGGGGGGGGGTCCGGGCGGGCGAGGGCTGCGGCGGGCCGGGCCTGCCTTGACGCGGCGCTTTCTTCCCGCAGAGGCCGAGCACGGCTACGCCTCCGCGCTGCCCCCCTTCGAGCGGGCCTGCGCCCGGGGGAGGACCGCCGCCAGGAAGGCCCCCGGCAGCCGGTGAGTGGGCGGGGGAGGCCGCCGCCATCTTCCACCGCCCCCCGCGGGGCTCTCTCCCTCCCGGCGCCGCCGCCACGTCGCCCGGGCAGCCCGGCCCGCGCCGCCCTCCGGCCCTGGCCAGGAGGCCTCCCGGGCTGAGCGGGGCGAGGGAGGCGGGCGCCGCACGCGAGGCTGCTAGACGGGCAGGGGGCGCCCGGGAGGGCTCTGCGGGAGAGGGAGGGGGGTCCCCAGGGGCGCTTTTTCACCCCCCGAAAGTCAGCCGAGGAGCCGCTTCCGTGGCCGAGCCCTGCGGGGAGGGAGGGGGGGAGGGGAGATCCGTCCCTGAAAGGAAGCGAGCGCCGGGCCGGGTGGGGCCCCGGCCGCTCCTCCTCTCGCCCTGCCTGCCTGCCTGGGCCGCCTTGCTCCGGCCGGGACGGGAACGGAGGAAGAGGCGAGCTCGTCCCGCGAAGGCCCGGCTTGCCTTCCTCCCCCACCAGCAGCCTGCCCGGGAGGGGACCGGCCCAAATAGCCGCGCGCCCCCCGCCTGGCCGCCCCGGGGGGCGTTTGGCCCTGGAGCCCAGTCCCCGCTTTCTCCCCCCTCCCGGCAAGGGAGGCAGGTGGGCCGCCTGGGTGACAGGAGGCCGTGCGAGGCTGTCCGAGCCTGGGGAGGGGGGCCCGAGTGCTTCCCTTGCGGGAGAGAACAGCCTCCTTGGAGCCCACTGTACCTGTGGCCGGCCAAGGCAGCACCGGGCGGGCCCAAAGGAGCCCCGGTTCCAGGGCCAGAGGAGGCCCTGCCGAGGCCTGGACTGCAGCCCCAGAGGGCAGAGGGGAAGTGGAGCCAGCCCCACCGGCCGGAGGGAACCACTTCCAGATCCGATCCGAAGAAGCTGGCGGCCCTGTTACGGTGCCTGGCCAGCTCGGCGGGAGCAGACGGCACTCGGGACCCTGCTGTCCTACAGTCGTGGCCCAATCCAGCCGGTGCACGGCTGGCCCGGCCCGGTCCGGTCCTGTGTTCCCTGCTGACTGCACCCAATTGAACGTAGGAGTGCCCTAAAGTGGATCTCGTGATCCCCGACTCGGTTCTCAGCCCTGTTTTGATGTCTCTGTTCTGAAAATAGCGACGGGTTGCTTAACTGTGTTGTATAAAACATGGCCTGTTAAAACCAGACATCTCGTGGTGTGTGAAACCAGATTTTTATCTCCAGGTGCTGTGCCAGATCTGTGGAGAATAGTTGCAGGTCCCTCCCAGTGGTGGGATTCAGACAGGTCAACAAGCGGCTCTCTGTGGGGATGCCGCTTCCGGAAGTCCATTCTGGGCCTGCTGGGCAACAAAAAATGAGCTGCCGGTTCTGCCGAAGTGGTGCGAACCGGCTGAATCCCACCATTGGTCCCTCCCCAGGGAGATGCATAGCGGGTAGTATTGGGCACCCCAAATTGAGTCCGCTATTAGCATTGCATATCTGGTACCTTCTCATCCTAAGAAAAGGTTGCCAAATAAGAAGGTGAGCATTTTTTCCCCTCTCTGGCCATGTGACTGAGCCACCAGCCTTTAATGTACAGAGGCTCTTTTGCCTTCGGCTCAGTCTGTTATTTGCGGCTGGCCTATGAAATCACGGCAATTCCCTGCCGAGTGCACTGTGCCAGGGCTGAACGTGTGCGGTATTTTTGCTGTGATACTGTTGGCCCGGTGGTAATTACACTTTTATTCATGGGAATACTTTTTCTCACGTAGATTCCCAAAGGTAAGGATGAGGTAATGTCAGTTTATTCTAAAGGGCCCGTGAGATGGCTTCCTTCCTCAGGATACCGTGACAGTGTCCTATAAGGTTTGCTGTTTGTTGAACTTGCTTCTACATTTAGCTTAAGTTCTTAGGCAGGAGGAGGAAAAACATATCTACTAAGGTAACTGTTTTCTGCCATGGTCCAAGTTCATTTAATCTTCAGTTAGTCCTGTGACTGAGTTTTCTATTACATCCCAACAATCAAATTTCAGTTTGAGATATTACAGAAATTTAATCTGATTCAGGGTTGATCTTAAAACTGTGTTAAACCTGAGAAAAACAAAGAAATCGTGTTCTTTGTGTACTGAGTTAAGTGCCTAAATTCTTTTAAAATAGTTCCTATTAGGAACTTTTAAAACAAATGTTTCTATTTGAGTTAATACACAATATTCTAAAGTACTCCAAGTTAATACATAATATTCTAAAGTATCACATTTTCTGTTTTTAATAGGTCCTCACATAATGAATTAGAAAAACATAGGTAAGTAATAACAGAATTGATAGAGGTATTAATATACACAGATGGCAATTCAGATGTATTGATTGATAATTACTCATTTGCATATTGATAGAATAAAACAATGAAGCTTTTTTAATGGAAATCGGTGAGTTAAATTTATGCAAATTTTACTCATTTGCATATTTATACATACCATTTATATATGGATAATTTTATACGTACATATTTCATCAGGAGTTTGCAGCAAATTTGAAATCTTTTAGGAATTTGTTTTAAAACATCTCTGATTTATATTTCAGTTTCAAATAAAATTACATTTAATAAATTCTGATTTCATTTTAAGGAATTGTAACTGTTTATGGACACATGACTTTTCTGGAAATAGGATTAAATGAATTTATGCTATTTTAAAAGAATTAAGCACACCATTAAGCTGGAAGAGAAAAATGAAAGCAACTTCCCATCCCTAGAAAGTTGAAGAAGAATTGGGTGGTCTGCCGAAATTAACAGTGTAGTACAACCCCTTGAAAGAATGGAAAGCAGAGGTGGACATAAGAAATGCTCTCTGCGAATGAATATAGCATTTATTTGGGGGGCCTTTTCGTGGCTTTTGCAGAATGCTTTCTGCTGCCTGGGCACCTGAATGTGTAGAGACAGCCTGGAACAGATTTACGAAGCAGCAGCCTTGTAAATCTGGGGAAAGGTCTGCCTTCTCTGCCCAAATGCCTCCCTTGAAGAACCTGCAGGCCCTAATTAGCAAAAAGGGGGCTTCCACATGGGTGCCCTTTTATGTCGCTTATTCGTGTGTTACTATCTTTTGTTGATCGCATTGTATAAACATAGTTTTCACATAGATAAAAGATCAATAAAAAGCTGAAATTTTGGCTTGCTGCTGCTAAAGACTTGGAGCATTTATTAAAAAAGGAAAACTTATTTTGGCAAAAATAATGAGCTGAATAAGATACTGTAGATTCAGCTCTCAGTCCATGCCACAAAAGATGGTAGTTTTAATAATGAATATACGCTAAATTATATTAAAATTGAGGAGTGCAGATTTACCACCAGCTTATCAAGTAACTTAGTGGGCGAGCGCCAATGACGTAATAGCCAGCCATCAACACCCCAATCAACATCTAAAAAGCCACACACACAACAGGCACCCTATAAATGCCACACACCCAATAGCCCAAAGCTCCCACACTGCCAGGGGGAACTTCCCCCTCAGGATGGGGACATCGGCACCAGTCCAAAACCTTGGAAGACAAAACCTCTCGTGGGAATGAACCACCCAGATCGGATACTCTATTAAAATTTATTATTGTTTTGTTTTGTTTTGTCATTTTCCTTGTTTGGGAACATTTGTAGTGCTTTCCTTTAGGTAGATTAGCAGTTACAAATTTCATCACTTACTCTTAATTAGAAGGCATAATTAACTAATGAAGTTATTGAGTAATATGTATATTACAAATCTGAAAGAACTTTCTAATTTCCGGTCCCACGTTTAAAATTTGTCTTTGGGATTCACCTGGTGAAGCAGGCCACAGCATGTATCTGCTTAGGGTCAATCTCCACGTTATAGATATTTAAAAGAAATAATGCTGGTAAGGGGAGAGAAGAAGGCCTGTTTCCTCTCCATCCAGCTAACTCCATTTCTTTGCATTGGGACTGCATCCCTGGGCATTGCATTCCACCCTGGTGCTCTGGAGCATATGAAGTGTGAACGGAACATGGGCTTGCAACTTTCCAGGGATGCAGGGTAGCTCCAGACAGAGGACAGCGCCCCTCCCCCCCCTCCGCCCCCCAGTCCTGGAAAAATAGATAGCTGCTATCCAGGAGCCTCGTTCAGACGGAAGCAGCCTGTTTGGAATCCGATCTGAAGCCCAGGCCTGCATGGCTTCAGGCCCTGGAGACTTGGACTGGGAAGGAAAGTGGCAAGGGGAGAAATAGCAGAGGGAAGATCCAGGAAGCAGCCACCCCTCCCGTGGATGTACACTTCAGAGGAATTGGGTTCCACCCTCGCTTCGTACACGGGGACGGACTCTCCAGGTAGGCCCCTGCTGTTTTCTGCATTAGTGGAAACTAACCAGACTAGTCTCTGGCCTTATACCCAAGGACTTTATCACATGAGAATGGTTACATCAGTTCGCCACAAGGCTCCAGGATGTCCTGGTGAATGTAAAAGCCAAGTTTCAGGATCCTGTTACTGACTGTTTTTAAATCACACAAATATATTTGCACTGGAGAAGAACATACTTTAGTTAGGGGCTTCATTTCGCTTTAACATTACCTGAGTTTAAAGGGCAGGCAGACTTACCTGGAAGGAATGGCTTTTCTGGTTTTTCCAATAACTTGGTCTCGGGCTTACAGAAGCTCTGATGAGCACATCTGAATGTAGCCAGGAAGGCACCACTGTTCCCAGGCAGAGCCAGTGGAAGATTTGAGGACCCCAAATAATACTTTTTAGGAGACTGCTGGGAAGATGGGGACCATATCTCAGCTTTTTTGTATCCAACTAACAGGTTTTTTATTTTTTACCAATAACTCCTTGTTTGCATGCTCCATCTTTTGTTACAAGTGAGAAAATAAACATGCTGATGGATTCCTGCATTATTTTGTGTTGTTCTAAATGGCAAATTGTTTCTCCTCCCTCCAAACGGAACTCTTTGGGCTTTGGTGAATGAAAAGAGCACTGTGCCAAAAAAAATCATAGCTCCGTGAAAATACGGATTCAGTCAGTGAGGAAAGAAGATTCCCGTTAGGAAAAGCCTGAACACTAAATGAATCAATACAACAGTTATGTTGAGTAGTGCCCACATTTCAATTCACTCTGGCACACCTCAGCTGTCCTTTGTAGATCCTGGAAAGCTGTGGAACAGCTGAGTCAAAGCTATCCAAAGACCAGATTTTGACTGGAGATGGAGGGAAGAAAGGAAGAGATCTAATAGAATGCCTAGTTTGGAGGAAAGATTGGAGATCCCGTTATTTTTATTTTCTCTGCCTCAAAGAGAATATTGCTAAAAGAAAAACAGAAATAAAAGGAGGAACTTTGTGTATCAGTAGTTAAAATTATTGAATGAGTTACTTGATATTGCGAGGGCGTCGTTCATTTGGGTGCTTCAAGAGCCTGTTGGAAGAAAGAAATAGCAGATCGCTTCCAAGAAAACTGCAGGGATTCCCTCACCAGGAATCGTGCTTGGCCCAAGGGGGTCTTTGATTGTTGGCTTGGCCTTCAGTGTCGACAGACCATTTCCTGATACAACACTGTAGTAGTGTGGTTTGCTTGGATTGATACACTGTGTTGTGTGGATCTTACTCTGGGCTTATAGTTTTAACATATTTGGTGACTCGAACACGCAGGGTGTATTCAGGGCTCCTTTAGTGCCCAGTCAGCCTCTGATGCATCCCCACGGATACTGGAGGAGATCTCTTGCGTGTGGTAGCTGTGAGGCATAAATGCTAGGGAAATATAACTTATTTGCAATTAATACTGTGTGGAAAGTAGGGCAGATTTTGAATGCTAATGACACTAAAGCAAATTTCTAACTCTCGATCGTTCCAGGCGAGCGAAACTACGGCTCTATTTAGAAGAGTTAAAACAGCTGGTCCCTTTAGGAGCCGAGAGCACGAGGCACACCACCCTCAGCCTGCTGAAAAGAGCCAAGGTACACATCAAGGTAAATCAGAAAGAGGCCTAAATCATTGTGGGAAACACCTGCTGTATAGCCTTTGGGAGGGACCCGGTCAGCTGGAGTCGCCCGCTACTCAGAGTACTGTGAAATGCTGGTAGGATCACCTTTTTACACACCCTTTTTGTGTCCAGGGCAGAGGCTGTATAGGGCCTCGCAGGAGTATATAAGAAGAGGTTTTAACTCCAGCCTTGACCGCTGGTCTCCTTTGTTTCTTCTGATTGTTTCAGACTTTGGCTCAAATTATAATTTTTTTCAACTTCGAAAAATGTTGCTGAAATAGCTTGGGAATTGCACAATCTCATTTATAAACCGGTCTTGAAGGTTTTTTTTAAACTTCTCAGTTCCCCCAACTCCTCCGGAGACTTTATGCTATGGCTGCCCATACCCTTCAGGAACGGGCAAAGCGTTGCCCTGCCACCACAAAAGCCGAGGCTTGTGCCGTTGGGGTCCCAAACACACCCAAGTAAGTCTCACAAAAGAAGCCCTCTGGAGCCACCCTGTGCTTCACCGCCTAGGGCAGGGGTAGGCAACCTTGGCTCTTTTATGCTGGCTCAGGAATTCTGGGAGTTGAAGTCCACAAGTCATAAAAAAGCCAAGGTTGCCTACCCCTGCCCTGGGGGCTATCAGAGCAGCGTGCGCCCACAACTTGGAGTATATAAAATGGGAAGAAGTCACATTTTAAAATATATACGTTCTTGCTTTCCTTAGCCACAAATGAACAGGGAGACTTCTAGATAATGGCTTTGATATGTAGGAAACAAAAGCATTCCCCCCCTTTTGTTTTTTGTTTTTTCTTAACATAACATGCCTGCCAGATCACTGTGACTTATTTCAAGTGGTTTTAAAAACCCTTGATTTACAACTAGAGGTGGACTCAGCCCGCAAATTACCTGCCCTTGTTTGAATGACCTGTAACCAGACCTTCAGTGCAGAACATCTGCAGGAGAGCCTGATATTCCCATAGAGAAGAATTGGCAAGAAGAGTCAAAGACTCCCTGGAGTCCAAAGTTATGTTTACCTTAGTGGGGATGGAGATGAGGCCAAAGGTAGCTGAAAGAGAGGATTAAGGGCTCATTTTTCACCTGGTTCTCCTCTGGCGCAAATGGATTTAGATGGACGTTGCAGCAGAGGCTGTGCCGGCCTCGGACGCCCCTGCACCATTCAGAAACATCCATTTTAACTAACAGGAAAAGGGTTCTGAGTTACAATCTCAACTTACCCACAGCGAGTTGTTTGTAACACCCACTTTGTACTCAACTAAATGCTTTTCCTTTCTTTGGGACTACCTCCTGGAGAACTGTAAAGTCGGTTGCTTTTTAAGCTGTGATTTTTTGTTTGTTTGCTTACATGGTTCCATATCCGTTTAATCATTCTGTTTGACAGACTGTTACGATATCCTACAGCAGTGTTTCTCAACCTTGACCATTTTAAGGCATGTGGACATCAACTCCCAGAATTCCACAGCCAGCATTGCTGGCTGTGGAATTCTGGGAGTTGGTCCACATGCCTTAAAATGCTCAAGGTTGAGAAACACTGTCCTACAGCTTTATGTGTGCACGAACCCAACCAGGGATTGTTGTTCAGGAAAGAGAGTCTTTTTGGGGGAACAAGGTTAATTGGGATTATTTTCCCCGTTGTTAGTAGCAGCAGGGATTCGGTTCATTTCTGTAGAAATAGTTGGGGGAGCAAGTATTTGGAGCCCCTCCCTTCTCCGCCCCCCACCTCCACCCCCACTATCCTAATCAGGGCTGCTGGGAAAAGTCTCCAGCTTCCTTGCCTACCACCACCCTTTGCAAGAAAAGTGGCAGCTACTATATCACCCCTGTGGGGATAGTCTGGACCTTGCAGTCCTCTTCAGGATCGCTTCCCTGCAATCCGGGGGCCAATCAGATGCGAGCAGAAGATTATTTTCTTTGTTAAGCAGATGGGTCTCATTGATTTTGGGTCTGTAGAAATTGGAAGAACAGGATCGGAAAGCTCTGAACATTAAAGAACAACTGCAGCGAGAACATCGGTACCTCAAGCGTAGATTGGAACAGCTCTCCGTGCAGGGCCTGGAGCGAGTCCGCACAGACAGCCTCGGATCGACGATATCGACGGATTCGGAGCAAGGTAGGCAGTTCGAATTCTGAGATCTCCCATCTAAAAGTATCCACACTTGAAACGCACCAACAGGTGCAGAGTGTGCAGCAGGAAGACTCAAGGCCATTCAAAGCTACCCAACTTCTTTTTGAAAAACAAAATTTCAATAACAATTTGTGATGGGCTGGAAAAACAAATTTAATTAGCAGTTAGAGAGAAAACCGGTTGCTGCAGAGAAGAATGAAGCCTTAATGTCAGAGGTCCAAAGCGTCAAGATTCAGCGTGTTCTTTGCAAAACAAACGACAGCTCAGGCCGTAAGCCACGTCTTGTTCCAATCCAATTTGAGGTAATCCTGCAACAATTGCCATGTTAATGTTGGACAGTGTCCCAGGACCTACTGAGGTGATTGTTGCATTGTTACTATTATTGTGCAGAATGAATACTGGACTTTATTCCGGGTTACTAAAGGTAAGAGTTAGTTTGAAAAGTTGGAGTTACCCTTTAAGTGCATTTATTGCAAGCGGAAACTCCTTTGTACACATATCCTAAGCCAGGAATGTCCAGTCTTGGCAACGTTGAGACTTACGGTCTTCAACTCTGACGCTTCCCTCCTCTTCCCCCGTGTAGAGGTGGACATTGAAGGACTGGGCTTCACCCCGGCCGAGATGGACAGCAGCGGGAGCGGCAGCGACGCAGAAGACAGCTTGCAAGGCAGCTCGAGCGACAGCGGCTACGCCCGGCCCCACAGACGCCACGCCCGGCTCCTGTAGCCTCCGCCCCAGCGGCCGGCGCCCGGATCTCCCGCCGGAAGCCCTCCCCCCCCCAGAGGTGCCATCGACCGCCGCTCTTCAGAAAGCGCCCCTGGGGAGGAAGCCTCTGCCTGGGGTTCCCTAGCCTGTCGATAATACCACCGTAGAAATCCGGGTTTGGGGATGTTGTAGATAAAAAGTTTGGGTTAAAAGAAGTTCCTTCGCCTGCCCCTAATGCAAGCGGTCACTCATAGAGTGGCTCGGTCGATCTCTCCCAGAAGTTTAGCCCTTCCGCTTTTGAATAAATTACTTGGACCCATTTTGATAAATTGTTCTAGGTATTAAAATACGAAGGGACGCTGCCTGGAAACTTTCATGTAAAGTTTAAGAACGTGGCTTGGCAAGCGAGTGGGCACCAGACCTTTATCCCCGCACACCTCAGCCGACGTCACTAACCCAAACTGCAAAAATTCCCTTTTGTGCGCATTGTCCCACTCGCAGCTGCTTTGGATTTTTCGAAAAGGAAAAGATGAAGCCGTCAAAGCAGGCTGCCATTTTTAAGAGTAGTTTTGCAAAGACTGCCACGGTTGACTCATTTTGGTCGTTTTGAGACGGCGTATCCGCCACTGATCCCTAAGGAGGAGGAGGAGGGTGTGTGGCTGTTCTCTAGAAGAAGTTGGAGCAGGTGACCTGCAACAACACACCAGCTCCCCCTGTTGCGTAGCAGCTCCTTCCGGCTATTCTCGCAGCGTCCTCCTGGCGGCTCCGATAGGGAAAAGGGCTGGGCAGGATGGATTCCTGGTACCCCAAAGAGCCCGGGGCTGTCTCTCCTTGCAGGTTTTTAGCGATAGCTGCACCGCAAAGTCTCCAGCACATCTTCCAGCAACAGCTGCCCATCCACCGCCTCCTCCTCTTCCCCCTCCTCTAGATGTCCAGACGGGGTCCCCACTTTCTCAGAACCGTTCATGGATCGGACGGGCTGACTTGTCTGCCAGGAAAGCAGGGAAATCCCAAGAAGTTTCAGGGCAAGGAAGGAGCCAGATAGGCAGAGGGGGGGGGGCTTTGCTTGCATTTGACCAAGGACCCTGGGGTCCCACGGCTTCCCTCCCCTTGCAGGCAGAAAGCTCCCGTACCGAGGAAGGCTTGGTGGGAGCTCTTGGCTTCATGGACCGGGTGACAGGCAGCCCTCGGCTTATCGCCGTGATGTGACCAGCCTCTTTTGTGAACAGCTGCCATAATCCTTAAAAGCAGTTGTTAAATGAACCAGTCAGTAGCTATGGGCACAGTGTCCCCCCCCCCTCAAAAGAAAGCAAGTAAGTGCTACTTTTTGACAAAGCAGTCTTAAAATAGAGGTTATTCACCAAGGGATGCTGCAAACAGACATAAATGCACTGGTGTTGCTGGGCACCCAAAATTTGGTCATGTGACTGCAAGGGGGGGGGCCCACAGATTGGAAATTAAAATCTGGATCTTAAGTAGCCTCTAGATGGGTCCATCGTAACTGAACTGTGACTGCTCTTTAAGTAGATTATACATTAAATATTTCAGTATTTTTATTGGAGGATTTTGAATCGCATGACCCCGGGTGGGATAATTGAAGCAGCGTTGTTTGCTCAATTTTGTGTTGTTTCTCTTATGTGGAGTTGCCAATAAACTTAAAGGAAAGTTTAGCTTTAAATTTCAGTATTGATACTGTGATTTATATGCTATACTGGCAGTTTTCAAAATAACAAAACGCTCTTAAGATTGCCTCATTCGTTTAGCATTCATCCAGCTTTTTAGAATGTAGTTACTCCTCTTGTAGCAATATTGCAAAGTTGTAATTGAAAGCAGTTTAAGCTTAGTGAAGTAATTAGTCTGGCTTACTGATAATTAAAAATGGACCAATTTTTGCATTTGAAAAAGGTCTTTTTTTAAAAAAAAAGTGATAAAAAGCTATATACTCTCTAGCAACTGGTTTATTTCCTATAGGTATATTTCCTATAAAATAGTCTGTATTGTATTTTCCTAATTCTTCTGAACTACTTAACTAGAGAAAGGAGATATTGAGCCCAACCAGAGTCTCAGGGACTCTTCATGCTTATCATATAGTGCCTTGTTAACAATTTCCTTCCTTCTTTCCTTCCTCCCTCCCTCCCTCCAAGTCAGAATTCTTGGCGGTGTCATTTTGCCTCAGATGAAATAGCTTATTTTACCTTTCCGCAGATGGGAAAAAAAGCCCCCATTCCCATAATTCCCCATCCCTCCCCCCTGTTAATGGAATGCGTAATGCTTGTGCCTCTTGGAGAAGGGGGGGGGGGCACAAGAAACTCCGTGCTCCCTGCTCCAGAAATTGGTATCCTTCCACACAAGAGTTCAGTCAATCATGGCGGTTTAAATGGATGGATGGATGGATCCAGTTTGGATGCGCCCCGGTGGCCCCAGAGGGAAAAGGCCGGGGCCAGCTGAGGAGCTTGACTCCTGGGCGGGGCCTGCTCTTGAACCCGGGGCAGGTTGCAGGATCAATTCAGTGCCTTTGGCTATTAAAATCCAAAACTACAATTATGTGCTTTTCCGCATTGAACGTTTTTAATCTTAAACAAAAGTACAGCCTGCTAGAATGGATGGAATTAACATGGTTGGTTTCTTTATGTTTTTCCCTTCGGTGCTACAATACAGAAAATTAGGAATTCAGTTCTGGCAGCTCACGACGACTCTTGGTTTGCTTCTGAGTAGCCTCTGAGTCGTCCTCAAGAATATAATGGATTAAATTACCTTTTGTAGCCATCCCTCCTTTATCCGGGAGGAGAGCTGTAAGGCTATTTCTGGCAGCTGCATTTAAGATTAATAAAATCTGTTACGTTACTTTGCTATTTTTTAGCATTATGAGTATGCTAAACTCATTGTATATTTCTAAAGTCCCCATGGGGAAGGGTATACAGCAATATAAGGATTGTGTGTGGCTGATTAAAAAAAAACAGCATTAGTTACTAATTCCTTTTGATTATTTTTGTTCCAATTTCCAAATCAGTGGTTTTTCTTCTAGAGGCTTTAATAACCATTAATAGGGGAAATTGCTAGTAATGTTAGTTTCCTATTACAATATAATGAATTTACTCATGGCTTTTAGAATGTTTGTTTCATGAAAAGCAATTCTTGCACAGAACTTTCCTACCGGAAAAAAAATATGGGAGAATGGAAAAGAGACTTTGTGAAAAACATCATTGACTTTCTGCCATTCTGATGTTTTTAAAAACGTTTAATGAACTCTTCCATCCTGGGTATCAGTGGCTTTGTAAATCTTTTATATTTTCAATAAAGATTATTCAATATTCTGAGCTGCAAAGTGGTTTCTGGTTTTCACTTAGTCATTGCTGCTCTGGCCGATGCTTCAGGGACCCGGCCCCGTTAGCAAACCCCACTCCTGTTTGAACGTTAACACATTCCACCACAGAGCAGATACGGGTGTAAATTCTGCACGCAAGGAGGACTGTTGAGAACAGTTTACGTTAAAGCTAGTTGTATAGATTAAGAATTGTCTGCTGGATCATTTAATTAAGGAAGATGCTGAATGTTAAATCAATCTTACTTTTAAAAAACACAAAATAGATACCAACGCAGGAACAAAAATCATTTAGCAGAGTATACAATATAAAAAGCATGCCGACAGGAATTTGCTGGATCTGTATTTTGTTTCGGGCAGTTGAGATGTGATTTGGCAGTGAAGACATTGGTGGATTGCCGTGATCAGATGACCCTCTGCTTGCCTTTGGATTGACAGGTGCCAGCACTAACTGCAGGGAGACAGGACCTGTTAGATCAGCCCACCCAGGGGATCGATGGACCCCATCAAGTTCTGGGAGTTTTCAGCTTCCCTGAAGGATCCGGTGGCTGGTTCGGTCCGATTGCTCCCCGCAGGGGGTGGATTGACTGGGCCAAGGATCCCTCTGCTCCTACGCAGCCTCTCCCTGTGTGCCGGTCCTAAGGCGGACCTTGGTTGAGGTGGGGTGATTCAAGGCATGGAAGTGCCAGGAGAGCTGCTGGGAGCCCCACTGGAGGGAGAGCCGAAGTGAGTCTGACACCCCCCCCCCATTTTAGCCCTTGCCTTGTGCCCTTAAGGGCAGCGGGATGTCTTCCTCCGCCCTTGTTGCGTCTGCTGATCAGAGTGGCCCCATCTCTGCGCGGTACGGAGGGAACCCTGGAATCCGCTGGGCTGTCTGATGGATAAAGTCACTTCACCAAACTAACCATTTTGTTAGACATTTTTTTCAAATTTTATTTGAACAATCAACCAGTCGGACAGCTTGCCGCCTCCAGAAGTTGTGGGTGCTCCATCACTGGAGGCTCTTAAGAAGAGATGGGACGGCCACTTGTCCAGAATGGCTATAGGGTCTCCTGCTTGAGCAGGGGGTTGGACTAGAAGACCTCCAAGGTCCCGCCCAGCTCCATTCTGATTGACTGATTGCTTTGCTCCAGTCTAGACTCTTAACTGGGCAGGGCAGGTCAAGGTTGTCCAGGACAGGGCCTGGGGGGGGTACCCCAAGAAAAGGGACGGGCCCTGGGGCAGCTTGGCCACCTGTTTATTGGGTCTAGACCAGGGGTAGGCAACCTTGGCTCTTTTATGACTCATGGACTTCAACTCCCAGAATTCCTGAGCCCTGGCTCAGGAATTCTGGGAGTTGAAGTCCATGAGTCATAAAAGAGCCAAGGTTGCCTACCCCTGGTCTAGACCACTCCAAGGGGGGGGGAGGCTAACAAACGCAAGCAGTACTGTTTCTTAATTTCTGTTAAGGATTTTAATCAAAAGATAAAAACAAACAAGAACCAATGTAAAGTTTCTTAAAAGGAGGGGGGGAGAAAAAGAGAAAAAAAGCCATGTGAAAGTACATGTCATATCTAAAATCACAAAAAATCCAGAGCAATGTTTAAATTCATAGCGCACTTTTGGGAATAATTTGACCCCCGATGCCTAGAATAGCATTTTCTCACAAGTCGACATTGGGAGGTGGGAATAAAACCTCTTTTCACAGCCACACTTGTTAAAGTAATACCATGTGTAACGGTTCCTTAAATAAAGCTGAAAATGGTTGTAAATAATAGAGAATGAATGCAGGGCATTAAAATTTGAAAAGCAAATAAAGTATACTTAAGATTAAGGGTAAACCATAACAATAGAAGACTTCTTATCATCTTCTTTATTCCCCCCTTTATTGATATTATTATGAACATCGTTATTCTGTTGCTTTGCAGGTACACTGAGAGCTTCTGCACCGGACACAAATTCCTTGTGCTTTGTCTAATCACACACTTAGCCAAATCAAGTATTCAATTCAAATTCATTATGCTGAGTCTTGGTACCTGGCCTGTATCTCCTAGTGCTATTTAATCCAGTGTTTCTCAACCTTGACAATTTTAAGGCATGTGGACTTCAACTCCCAGAATTCCACAGCCAGCAATGCTGGCTGTGGAATTCTGGGAGTTGAAGTCCACATGCCTTAAAATTGTCAAGGTTGAGAAACACTGATTTAATCTAACACTAAGACTACCGTAGTAGCCTCTAGCGAAGAAACCCTTTTGCTTTCACGCATAGTAAATCCATGCTTGGTTTGTGCCCTTTCTTTCTGCAGCCTTACCATTAGGTAATGTTCCATTATGACGGAGGAGGAGGAGGAAAAAAGATACAAAGGAAGAGTGAGTGACCTGAGAAGGAAAAGACAGTGGAAGTCGTGGTTAGATGGAGGTGAGAAGTTTATGGGGCAAAAGAAAACATGTGAGATGGTGGATGGACACATGGAAACAAGGGCGATGCGCAAGGATAATAAAAAACAAAGTCATAAGATCTCCTTTTTTCTTCCTTAAGTTCCTTTGCCCACTAATTATTGCCTTTTGGGGGGGGGCACTTTTCAGAATATAGTTTGCCCTGAACAGGAACAGCATATCAATCGGTGCTTTCTGGGGGGGGGGGGGGAGACAAGAAAAAACTAGAGCAAGGAAAGGTGGGAGACAGCCCTGGAGAGCGACTCAGGTATTCTTGCGTTGTGGTTCTCACATAAAGTGTGATTACAAAGGATGGTCTCTGTTTGTCCTGAAATAGTGATGTTTTCATGAATTCCAGCCCAGGCTCTTCAATGGAAGAGCTCCTCATGAAACTGGTCTTTGCACTGAATTTATTACCCCGAATATTCAGAGGCTGCGGATAACACCAAAAGCTTAGTCGAGAGGAATAAAATTGCAGCTGAAAATTCAGTGGACTGGGGGGGGGGGAGCAAATGGTTGGAAACTCTGCTACAGAAAAATGCAAGTTTAACCTGAATATTTGGGGGGGGGAGACTGCTTTCCTGTTGAATTTTAAACTTTTTTCTTTTTGGTAATGCCTAGGTCATTTATTTATTTGGTCAGGTGCATACAGTGTATGTATACCATATCTATAGAGATAGAGAGAGTGGTGGGATTCAGCTGGTTTGCACTACTTTGGCAGAACCGATAGCTCATTTTTTGTTGCCCAGGCCCAGAACGGACTTCCGGAAGTCGGTTGTTCATCTATTTCAGGGGTAGGCAACCTTGGCTCTTTTATGACTTGTGGACTTCAACTCCCAGAATTCCTGAGCCAGCCATGCTATGCTGGCTCACGAATTCTGGGAGTTGAAGTCCACGAGTCATAAAAGAGCCAAGGTTCCCTACCCCTGACCTATTTGAATCCCACTACTAGATATAGACATACATACCTTATTTATTAAATTGATATGCCACCCATCTCAATCACATATACACACAAAACACACAAATGTCACATGCTCAATTTATTGGGGTGTGGAGGAGTAGAGAGACAGAAAATCCCTCAGAGGGAATGCAATGGAGGCAGGCATCAGCACTTAAGGATCTTAAATAACACTAAGTATGATTCTTGTAATATGAAGATATGGCTATTTCAACAAAATATTTTTGGCTTGTTTACCAGACACCTCAGGGAAGATTTAAAAAAAAGATGGCTGTAAATTTTTATTATGCTGGAAATATGCAATGATTGAGCGGACCTTTATACAAATGATCTAAGCTTCCTCCACCATCACCCTATTTTGGTTTAATATCCATTGGGTTGTTAATATGGTTTTGGGAACATTGATGCCACATTAAAATGTGAACGCAATGTTGAATTATATACAAAAATTTGGAATTATCCTATATAAAGCACTATGGATTTACTGAGCATAGAATATTGCAAAGACATTTCTCGGTTGCAGTGGAAAGACAGCCTAGATCCAGACTCCTGTGTCTCTTTATGAACTTTGCAGGTCCAAATTGTATCCTCACCAAAGTTATAATGTAAAAATATACTGAAAGATCTAAATAATTCTTGGGAAAACATGAATGAAGTTTCAGGATGGCTGAATTGATAGGGCTGTGGCTTCAACATGGCCAGGCTGGTGAGATTGTGAACAGCTGTGTTTCAGCAACATGAGGGGGGCCACAGAGACTTTACATCTGTTCTGAAAGGACTGTGATCCTGGCAGAGCTTGGATCTCCTTTTTCTAGGTTGGAGATCTCTCCTTGATAAGTTTCCATCCTTCGCTTCTTGTCCTGCCTTCAGGTGCTTTGGAGAATAGCTTGGCCCTCCCTCTTCTTTGGGGCAGCCCCTCAGATACTGAAAGGCTGCTATCCTGCCACCCCCCTTGGCCTTCTCTTCATTAAACTAGACACTCCGAGCTCCCTCAACCGTTCATCCTATGATATGGCCTCCAGAACCTTTATCGTCTTTGCTGATCTTCTCTGTATTCTTTCTAGAGACTCACTTCTAGAAAGGGCTGCTCTCCGGCCCACAGGCCCCTCTGCTGCTGTTGTCTTTTTTTTTAATCATTTTTTTTCATGCCATGATCCATGGCGTGACTGTTTGCCAGTTTCTCTGGAGCCCTGGTCCATTTTGTGATGTTTCTGAGCTTTTCAGATCCCTGCCTGGCTGGCATTTTTACCTGAAAAGCGCTGCTACCCGGTTGGCTGAGGTCCTCTGCCCGCTTCGGTGAAGGGCTTGGGCCTACTCCGTATCCAGCGATGCACTCCCGTCTCCTTATCGCCCTGAAGGTACCTCTTGCCCGTAAGGCGGACCAAATTCCATATATCGATTTGAACCACAAAATGTGCGGCTTTAATCACCCTTGAAAAAATGCTCTAGCCTGCCTTATCGGCTTGCCCGATGCCTTGCTGAATTGCTAAGCAACAGCTCTGTGGGGTGTTTCGTAAGTATTTATAATCTCCAGCATGTGGTTTATTTATTTTTCTCTCCCAGAGAGGGGAAGGAAGCAGCCAGGGCTTCCACCCAAGTAATAAACACGGAGACGCTTTTTCCACAGG